AGACATCTCTGAATTCTGAGTTTGATGATTTCACATCTCTGAATTCCGAGTTTGCAGTGGCTCCCAGGGAAATCCACAGGATGTGTTCCTGTGCTCCTGCTCTGGCTTGCCCCTTCAGACACCTTGGCTGCCAGCGTGGTGCCAGCACAGCTGTTCTGGCCTCTTGGCACATTTGATTAGGGAACTCATCTGTCAGAAAAATAAACCAAGCTAAAATCTCTGCTTTTGTTCCTCCAGACCAGTTCCTAGAGAAATAAGAAAAGAATCCCATACTGGATGGTTTCATTTTCTATTGCCAAGCATTGTTGATATTTTTTCCATGCTGGTAATATTTATGGTTAAATATTTGCTGTTCAAAAGGGATTGTAACACTAAGGATATTTTTTAAGCCTTTTGTTTCATACAAGATGCTTTAACTCTTAAAAGTAGCTATACATTAATGACATAGTTGATACAATAGGTAGGTGAAGCTTTATTTTTAAGTATGAAAATTATATCAATTTACTGGAAAAAATGTCTTTTTGAGTCAGCAGTATGGAACTTCCATCTTGTGTGCCTTGCCTATTCTGCCTGGCTCCCATATGTGTAACTTTAGCAATGTTTATGCAAGTTATTTTGAGTGAATGATGATATTTGATTCTGATTGAAGTGGAGATTTGCACAGATGATGTGTGGAACCCTTGGAGCCTGGCTTGTGTGACAATTAAATCTAAATCTGCATTAATTTAGACCAGCTTAAATGCTTAGCAATATTTGGGTGACTGTTGGTGGCTTAGTGGAATAAGAAGCCCAAGACTGCAGATGGGTGGATGTCTCATGGAATATTGTCATGTTAGGCTTTTATGATCTCTTCAGATTTGTGCTTTTTAGGTCTAACTATGGCTAAGCTTTTCATCCAAGAATTTCTTTGGTTTGTGGGTACTGTTTCAGAAAACCCAGCCCCTGTTGTGCAGAACTGGTCTCTGAAGTTTGAGAGCTGTTCTCCCAGAGTTGTCACTTTGGTTAGAAAGTAAAAACCTGGACTGGGAAGTTCCTGTTGGTGGCTACTGATTAACCAGGAGAGAGCCTGCAGCGTATTTTAATAAGCTGGTGAGGGATGGAGTTTCCTGGTTGCGTGTTGTGCTGTGAGCAGAAGGGCAGATGCCCTCTCTCCCTCTGGCCAGTACTGTTATTCCCAATCCCAGTGTAACAAGGGCTGAGCTCTGGGAGCTTGTCCTGGAGAAGTGTCTGTGTGCTTGCCCAGGTGCTGAGTGCTGATGGCACCTTGGCAAATGATGTACAGCGTGATGGGGAACATTTCTTTATTGAGCTAAGAAACTGTGGGGAAAACCCAGTGATCCCCAGTGGGCAGCCCTCGCTCTGTTCCTGAGGAGAGCAAGTGAATCTCTTGCTTGTTCTCACACTGAAGATAAAACACTTCACTTCCTCCCTTCTAATAACACTGAAGGGTTGTAGTGAAGCTGAGTTGCTTAGATTTTCAATACCACTTCAGGATTCTCCAGGGGAAGTTCAGAGTGGCATTTGTCCTTTGGTGTTTATTTTCTGTTTGCAGTGGCTGGGAGGTGGCTGCCACACGAGATGGTGTCATCAGAGATGCTGCATGCCCCCACCACCATCCCAGCTGCCACACCAAAGCCCAGCCTTTCTCTCTGGACTCTATTCCTGCAGCTTAGTGCCAGCCAGATGGTCTGTGCTCCCTCCCACACTGAGATCTCTAAAGCTCATCAGAGGGCTCTGGCCATAGCTGGGCCACCACAGCATCATTTCATTTCCACCACACACTTGGGGTGGCCTTTGTGTGACTCTGGATTGCTCTTCTCATTTCTTACCTTTTTTAAAAGTAATATTATTATTTTGTTATACTTTTCCTTTATGTCAGTTGGAGAGCCCAGTATCTCCGAACTATTTTTCATACTAAAATTTGTCATCAATGGGCACAAACTTCCAAAATCAGTAGCCCACTTAATATTCAGTGTTTTCTGGACTTACCTTTAATTACCAGGAACATGAACTTTATACACCATTTGGGGCTAAGGAAAGGAATCAGATTTGATAAGTCATACTTCCCGTGTGTGTTCACTGGGTAGATCTGAGCTCTG